GGGGGGGGGGGCATTGAAAGTTTGACAGTACAGGTTGGGGAGGGGGGGTGGGTTAAAAAATTGCTTAATTGTTGACGTAATTAATGGACGCCCCCATAGTAGCTTGAAATTCCAAATAAACATTCCAATCAACTAAATATTGAGAAATTTCCACTATTTTGTAAACAAGTCATGTCTTCTTTACATAATAATGCAGTTCTTATACGATTTATAAAAATGACCAGTTTTGATAATCCAGAAAAATGCATAGACCTTTCTGCTTAAATTTTTTTTATTTTTTTTTTGGACTATAGATAGACTAATTTTGGAAATATTTATCAAAGGTAATTATTTTACGTGAGTTGATTATTGTGAGTATTTTTTTAATTTTCATTAGCGTTCAACATAATATAAAATGATTTTAGCAGTGCTTTTTGTGATGGAAAACTTTTTTTTTTTTAAACTCATTTATTAACTATGTAGTTAACCCCCATTAAGGTTTAAATGTTAAAACAAATGAAAGCCAATACAATTTCTATTTAGTAATCTAAAAAACAAATTGCATAACACAACTACGTCAAGCAGAGCCGTCGCTCGGCTTTTCGAGGCCCCCTTTGTGGTTATGTCCTCCCCACACCCTGCATTGAAAGATGATAAGTAAGAAAATAACAACATCACATCTTCAAGCCCCTAAAATATCCGAGGACCACTGCAGCCATAGGGGGTGCTGGGCTCACACGATGTTTCTAAGGTCAAGTGACACCTACATTTTCTTCTTTAACTAACATCGCTTCCGTTGCTCTCCAAGTTTAGAACGTTGCAAAATTGAATCAAAGTATTTGCTAAAGTGCATTCCTTTATTTTGAATTTATCAAAAATTTTCTGGGGACTATAAAGATTTAATAGACGATATTAAGCTATGGAAAATGCATACCCTCAAGGGCGCCACATCTGGAATGAATTCAGTCCAAGTCCCACTTGTGTAGCGTTAAAGATCTCTTCGATCATTATTATGGCTAATTTTGGTGATTCCCGCGCGAAAGTTTGCAATGTCACCCAAAAATTGTCTGAAAGTATGCGCCCTATTGCACCCCTACATTTTGAATTGCGACAATTGTCTTCTGCGCCCTCAATGTCTACTTCCCTTCCCCCCCAAGCTGATCAATGTTACAGCAAAGGGTTGAATATTTGCTCGTGCAATTGATTACCCTGACGCACGCCACAATTGGAGTGAATTCATTCTATGTATGGCACTGGCACCATAGTGTCTCCTCAGACCCTTAAAAATTGCCTTCCCCTAATTAAAAAAGTCTAGTACAGACATTGCATTACACTACTCTCCAAAATGGACCTCATGATTTTGAAATTAAAAAAAAAAATCTGAGGAGAAGGCTCCCCAGTTCATCCACTGCACAAGATTTCTACACTACACCCCGTGACAATGATCGCTAAGTTTGGTGACGATAGATACACTTCCTAGAGATGTAGCTAATATTAGTGTCACTATTGGGGAGGGGGGCAAATATTTTGGTTGCTCTCCCTTTCACGATACAAACTGCAGTTGTTAGAAAATGCCCCACCTCCGTATAAAGAAAAAGTGACACCTAGACGAACAACCTCATCCCCCCCCCTCCTTTCTACGCCACTGGAAGGGGTGTAGCTAGAGTGTTTGGCGTCATGGGTCGCGATTTATTTTTACACCCCCTCCCCCACCTTTAACTCTGAAACTAATTATTTTCCATTAACACCATCAAAGCCCATCATTTTGGTGCCCCCCTCTAGTGTGGCGGTTCAGGTCATATGTCCCATCTGCCAACTCTTAGTTACGGCTCTGGCCACTGCCAACTCGCACTGCCCCCCCCCCCAACTGTCTGAAAGAAACACTGGTTGGAAATGGTAGCCCTGTACCTCACATAGCAGTGGGCTGGGCAGATTATAAAAACAACACGTGTAATCTTTGAGATTATGGGATACCAAACAATTTTTAAAAAGTAGCAAGGTGGTTTACTCGAAACAATACTTGACGTTCTTTGAACTAAGTACCTCTAGAACTACGATTACCGGTATTTGAATGTGTAAATGACTTGTAATTCCTCGCTGCAAATTGTATGCTCTCCACTAGGTAATAGATATTCTCACCACTAGGTAATAGTACTAGGTAATAGATATTCTCACCACTAAGTAATAGGTACTCTCACCACTAGGTAATAGTGCTACGTAATAGATATGGCTGCTAGATAATAATACTTCTCACCACTAGGTAATAGATGTTCTCACCACTATTTAATAGTACTAGGTTAATAGATACTCTCACCACTAGGCAATATAAATTTATTACCACTAGGTAATAGATAATCTCACCACTAGGTAATGGAAACTTCTCACCACTAGGTAATAGATACTCCTCATCACTAGGTAACAGAAACTCTCACCTCTCGGTAAAAGATACTTCTCACCATTAGGTAATATATAATCTCCCACGTTTACGATGTCAACCATTCATAAAGGATTTAAAACAAATTACAATTTATATCTCACTCCAAACTCGTAAGATGGCTCTCATGTTTCAAAATACAATTTATATCACACTCCAAACTCGTAAGATGGCTCTCATGTTTCAAATTACAATTTATATCACACTCCAAACTCGTAAGATGGCTCTCATGTTTCAAATTACAATTTATATCTCACTCCAAACTCGTAAGATGGCTCTCATGTTTCAAATTACAATTTATATCTCACTCCAAACTCGTAAGATGGCTCTCATGTTTCAAATTACAATTTATATCACACTCCAAACTCGTAAGATGGCTCTCATGTTTCAAATTACAATTTATATCACACTCCAAACTCGTAAGATGGCTCTCATGTTTCAAAATACAATTTATATCTCACTCCAAACTCGTAAGATGGCTCTCATGTTTCAAAATACAATTTATATCACACTCCAAACTCGTAAGATGGCTCTCATGTTTCAAATTACAATTTATATCACACTCCAAACTCGTAAGATGGCTCTCATGTTTCAAATTACAATTTATACCACACTCAAAACTCGTAAGATGGCTCTCATGTTTCAAATTACAATTTATATCTCACTCCAAACTCGTAAGATGGCTCTCATGTTTCAAAATACAATTTATATCACACTCCAAACTCGTAAGATGGCTCTCATGTTTCAAATTACAATTTATATCACACTCCAAACTCGTAAGATGGCTCTCATGTTTCAAATTACAATTTATACCACACTCAAAACTCGTAAGATGGCTCTCATGTTTCAAATTACAATTTATATCTCACTCCAAACTCGTAAGATGGCTCTCATGTTTCAAAATACAATTTATATCACACTCCAAACTCGTAAGATGGCTCTCATGTTTCAAATTACAATTTATATCACACTCCAAACTCGTAAGATGGCTCTCATGTTTCAAATTACAATTTATATCACACTCCAAACTCGTAAGATGGCTCTCATGTTTCAAATTACAATTTATATCTCACTCCAAACTCGTAAGATGGCTCTCATGTTTCAAATTACAATTTATATCACACTCCAAACTCGTAAGATGGCTCTCATGTTTCAAATTACAATTTATATCTCACTCCAAACTCTTAAGATGGTTCTCATTTTTCGAATTAACCCCCTCCGCAACCTCTTTTCAATGGGTTTTTTAACTAGATATTTAAAAATGAAAGTATCAAGTCATCACTGGAAGGGAATCAGAAAGTTTATTTCATTTCATGGTCAAAGTGATATTCAGTTGAAGAAACAATAACAAGGTTTCAAATTACAAATGTACCACAAAGAGAGTGGTTGGGGGGAACCTCATTCTCCACTGAACACAGACATTTACAAAACATTAGCTGGACTTGACATGCAATTACACAGTCCACTTCATATGCACAAAATGTTATCCATGAAAACCACTGCCACACAATGTTCCCTTTAAGCTGCGTGGCCGCGCAGCTATCTCACAGACACCGCGCAGCAGTTTTGAGTATCCGCGCAGCAAATTTTCATGCAAGTGTGTGTTTGTATTTGTGGGCTGTAAAATTTTGAACACAAAAAAATCAATGCTGCAAAACTTTGCACACAACTGTATGATTTTGATCAGGAACCAGCAAACCTTAGAGGGAACATTGCTGCCACATATTTAATCACATGTCAAATGTTAACCAACACTAACACCCATCAAACAAATTTATCAGATGAGCGTTTGTGTGAAGAAAAAAAAATCTCATAAGATAAACAATGATATACAGATATAACAAGTTTTATTGTTATATGCATAGACTATTCTGACATGTAACCATACTCAATGAAGAACTGGTGATAGTGAAACACTTTGGAACATTGATTTTTATTGAATACCGGTATGCTTAGTTCCCAGACTAAGAATTGTCACAACAATGACAGCTTGTTGACAGTAAGATCTGATCTATGAAATGTCGCAACCAATACTTATTCTTTCATTTTTATCAATATCTCACAATGTGGATTTCAATCAAAGAATATAAAATATTTTTAATCTCCACAACTAATTTTTCAAAGCCAGTGAGAGTAACCTGCACAACTTGAAATTACCTCCCCTAATGTTTTGATCCGTTATTAAAAGTTTGAGGTACCCATAAAGGCAACAGCTACATGCTTCTTCAATCTTTTAAAGCTTTTAACTTCAACAGGGTAATGTTCTATTAGAATTAGAGGGAAATGGAACCATCGAATGATGAGATTCATTTTATAGTCAATAACTTTTCTTGATAAAGAACTGTTTTCATTTGCATTTTCAAATGTCTATGTTATTTTGGTAGCACATTGTTAACACTCAATAAATTTTAAAAATTAAAACAGACCAATAACTTTTGTTTAATCTTGAACCTGTCACTAACATTTGGTGTTCAGTGTAAAGTTGGTATGGTCAGTCAGAGATAATAAACATTGTATGGAAGTTTGCTCATTGTTGTAAAGAGGTCTTCTGAACCTTGCATGATTATATAACAAAATATTCATTGAGTTAAGCGTCCTAGAACTAGAAGTTAATTGAGACCAAGCTGTACATCAGAAGAAAAGGTTCAGATCCTTGTTTTTTGTTGTTTTTTCTTTAAAAGAAGCGTATATCATGTATCTTATATAACATCGAAATAGGTTTTATTAGTATTATACAGCATCCAAAGTCCCACTACTCTTGCATAATGTTTATCAAGCCAAAAACCTGTATGCTTATCATTTGTATCTACAACCTCAAAAATCTGAACATTTAATAGAAATTTCATACACATAAAAATTATTTATTCATATTCCACATATACATCAAAGATGCAGTTAATATAGTTGTAAGTATAATATCCACAGCAAAACATTTGTCCATCAATAAATATTTACACTCGTGCAAATATACATCAACTTCCACATACTATAGGAATTTCCTAGTTGGAAACCCTTCATGTGTAAAGGTGGCTTTCATCCAGGAGGGTATGCGAAGAACATTCATGGGTAATACGATACAATTCTCATCACTACTACTTCAGACAAAATTACCTTTAAAATAATGGAAGTGGTGTTAGCCAAAATAGTAAGAACTAATGTTATCGACCAGAAAATTCTCATAACAAAGCATGGAGCTTTCTTTTATAGTAAACTGCACAGACACACACATCAATGTACGCTTTTGACATGATTATGGCAGGAATAGATTTATTTCTTATGCAAAAGGAAAATGGACTTGGTCAAAAAATAGTTGTTGTTTTTTATAGCATATAATAAAAATGGTGTAGTATATATATAAATGTTGTATAGAAGGAAAATTAAAACTGTGATATTTCTTTGCAGCAGTCACCACTGCACTTCACAAAAAAAAAAAAAAAAGAAGATGAAACCCTCCAACATAGGCAGCACACCACAACTGAGTATATCAATAAGAGAACAATTCACAACTTCTTTAAATTCAAATATAAAAAATAGTTGTTTTTTTTTATAGAATATAATAAAAATGGTGTAGTATATATATAAATTTTGTATAGAAGGAAAATTAAAACTGTGATATTTCTTTGCAGCAGTCACCACTGCACTTCACAAAAAAAAAAAAAAAAAAGAAGATGAAACCCTCCAACATAGGCAGCACACCACAACTGAGTATATCAATAAGAGAACAATTCACAACTTCTTTAAATTCAAATATATATTAGTATTGTATTATGATTATGTCAGTTCAACCTTGTGTCATCTATTTTAAAAAGATGAGCCCCCCCACTATTTGATTTAAATATTATCTAGTCACTGTACAGACCTGGCATCAAACGCAGCGTTTCTCAATAAGCATGAATTAATGCAACTAAACACAGCTTATGTTTAAATGTCAAATGTGCCATTACTTATTTTAAAAAAAATTTACAATTATAATCTGTTAGGAAAATTTGCAATCTCAAAAAAAAAATAATTTAAAAATTAAAAATGTCCATAAAAGTTGAGTCAAGTCAGACGTAATGAGTGATAGCAAGCATTATGCTTGGGCCAGCTGTTGAGCACTTGCCAGGAGTGTCTTGAATATAATCCACAGATTCTGATGACTCAGAAACCGAAAGTATAAACAACTTAACTCAGCCCCAATTACAATGAAATTTTAGCTCTCCAAATGTATCTTTAAAAATTCTGCATTAACTGCATCCCATCTGTGGTTATGTACAATACTGAGGCAAAAATTAATTTCATAAGAACTATAAAATAATTTTTTTTATCTAATAATTCATGTTAAAACATTAGTGACAAATTCAATAGTTTCTATAGATTTACACAATAAATTGATTTCTTCATCCCAGTTTATGAAACTAATCACACTTCACACTATTATCAGTTACAAGCCATTGTGTTTGAAAAATAATTTTAAAAGGTAAATCTTTACAAATTTGAGGGGAAAAAAAAAATGAAATGAAATTTTTAAAATCTTAATTTAGGGAATTAAAATGTTTCTTTAAAATCACAAAAGGTTTCAAAAATGCTCAAAGTAATTATTTCAAAACTCAAACAAATAAGATATGAAGGAAATTGCATAATCATATGTGTACGTTCTTTATTGCATCTTTAAAACATGTTTTAAACATCACTAGGTGAGTAGAAGGGACAAGAAACACACCAAACTAGCTCAACTTAAAAAAGCATCACTGATGACTTGTGTTTATCTCTCAAGGGTGAATCTGCTTTTATTTTTATGCCAACATTATTACTAACCCAAGTCCAGAAAAGCGTGTGTCCTTAAAATGGTTTTCTTGAGAACACAATGGGCCAAAAAAGTCAGTTGTGTGGTGTCCTATCATTGCATACCCTTTATTTGAACTGCTGGTTTTAAGGGGTGTTTGTGCGGTATCATTTATAATTTTATATGGATTGAAATGGGATAGCACATAGAAAAAAATTAATGACTGGATGATGTAATCAACAATGGATGTCAATTGCTTGTTTGAACAGCGTTTTCAAAGTTGACAAATTGTGGTTTCAGACAAGCTTAAAATGCATTTAGGAAATGTTTAAAAGCTTTGGATAAATAAAATGCTCATGGTGGATAATGACGTCACACATGAAGTAATGTAATTTAAAGTTGGCAAATTTAATCAAAATAACAGTCCGAATAAAGAGTACTGCATCAAATTGGTTTACTAAAAGAACATACCATATCAGTTATGCAATTTAATTATAACACACTGTGTTAAATACCATAACTTAAATATAAAGCTTATCCTACAATCATTTTACCATGTGAAAAGAAAGTTTCAGAAAGCATTGACAGTAACTGCTCTTTTGTCCCTGTGCTTGGCCCGAGCTTTTGTCCTGGCTTTAAAGGCTGCAGCGTTGATGAATGTCTGAAAAGTTATTAAAGTTATATTATTTTTCAGACCAACACATCATAATTTGAGGCAGAAGTTCATTTTAGTTAAGTGAAAAAATAAAATAAAAGTGAACAAATGAAATCGACAATTTAAAATGTAATATGGTTTCAATGTTTGGTAAAAGTATCATTTAAAAAATGTACACAATTCTATTAAGGAGAAAAAATGTGTTTACTTGATTCAACACAACGAAATTTTATTTTTTAGAGCTTCGTTAGTCTCCTTTGAAATAAAATGTCTAAATTAAGATTTAAAATACCCCAGATTGTTTAAAAATGAAATAGAAAAACTAACCCGTTGTGCTTTTGACAGAGACTTGGTGTGGCTGTAATCATCAAGACCTGGAGCTCCTAGGTCAAACATCTCTCGCAGAATGGGATTGACCTGAAATAATTTAATAAGCATGAAGTAGAACTTGCATAACATATTTATTTAATCAAAGGTTTCTTCAACTAACTGTGCTCATACTAATTAAGGTCATTCAATCTGAAGTGACAATCTGCACATGTCCTTACAGACATTTTTCTAAAATGTAGACTTGCAGAGATTAGTCTTGGTAATCTCTAGACTAGATAAGCTAAACCCTTAAAGCAATCAGTGTTTGTAAAACAGGGTTAGTCAAAATTTGCAAACATTATGACAACTTGTCTTGAATTACAATTCTTTCCCAATATTCTAACAAAAGCCCTCATCTGTAGAAAAATGACCCACTTACAGATTACATCAACAATATGGTTTTATTATAGGCTATAAAGGGAAGGTGAGCCACTTTTTGTTGAGGTTGTGATCACAATTTTTTTTTAAAGTAGGAATTCTACAAACCTTTTGTAAAAAATTGAATTTTGCATTTTAAAAAAAGTCAGAATTACAAAGAAACTCTGATAGTGATAGTCACATTTCTGCATCAGGAAGTCCCAAACAACAACCTTTCTTCAGTCACAACAGATGTAAAGTTAGATTTTTTACTAGTAGTTTCTGCAGCAATATTGGAAGTAAACAAATATTAAAGTAATTTTAAAAAGGTTACTGTTTCGAGCAGCATTCCTGAACACAGACTACAATTTTTTTAGACCCTGAGTGTGGGCTATTTCAGTTGAACTTGACAATCATTAAAACTTAAAAGAATTGGCTTAGAATAAGATGAACAATTGGATAAAACTTGTGCATTTAAGCATTTCAGTATCTGGAACAAACTTGAAAAACATTAAATATAGGTTGTAAGCACTTTTTGGTTGCTCAGATTTTAAGAAAATTCAAATCAAGAAACAACTTTGTAAATACCTTCATGTGAACAGAAGTTCCGGTCATTAGCACATGACAGAAACAGTCGTACTGGCGTTTTTGAGTCCAACTGTTCAATTCTAGAAGGTTCTCTTTACCCAGTTTCACTGATTCACAAGGACTCTCTAAATCCTAGAGGAATACAATTAACATAAATAGATTGCAACAACAAGCACAAAAATGGCAAACCTGGGAGTAAACAGACATAAAGAACCAGTTGCTGCATAGATTTTTCTTAGTGAATAGTGCTTAAATTATTTCAAGATAAAACTGACAACTCAGATTGGTTGCCAATACACAATATAGAAAACATTTAATTTAATACACTGTTAGAAGTAAAAAAAAAACAACAACTCATGATTTCTTGCTAAAATGTAAAAATTTAGTCAAGTTAGTATATACTCATTACTTTACAGCACATCTAGAAGAACTTACAACAACATAACGCTGTACGTCCCTAAAGCATGACCTCTGTTGGCGTCTATCTTTCTTGGCTCTATGTTTCACAGAGTCAGTGGCCAACTGTTTCAGGAGCTCACAAAGGCTAGCTTCATCTTCATGCTCAAAATCCTTGGCGAATAAAATTAAAAAACTTTTTTATACCGTACTCTTCAAAGCAATGTGGTAGCTCACTTAAAAAATTCAATACAAAATTTTGTCTAGTCTTTAAAAAAATAAATACATTTAATAACTTCATAAAATTCTGAAAGCAATATTTTTAGTTACCCCATCTAAGTCTCTTGCCAGCTCATATAACAGGGCAATAGCCTCACCAGCCATAATACGAAGGTCCACATCAGAGTTCCTTAGTAGATCTTGCAGCGATCGAAGGTGGCTTTAGACAAAATCATATGGACTAATAAGGCAAAACTTGTAACTTAGCACACTCTAAGAATGCCTGTGGTGCACTAACAGCCAAGATACCCATCCCTAAAAGTATAGTAATATATATTTTTGCTATTTGGCCCTTTTGAACATGTTAAGTCAGTGCACCAGTTCATCTTTTCAAGACACTTAAAATTTATTATAAAAAATTTGTTAAATAATAATACAGGACAACAAGAGTGATAAAAATGAAAAAAAAAACATACTTGACAATATTCAATTTTAATTTTAATAATATATGGCATCCTTCTTCGTGAGACGATGGAGTAGCTATATAGTTCTACACTTTGACGAGTGGCTCACTAGGCCAACCCTAGAATGACAATCATGGCCTCATCTCTCGCAGGAGAATATTGAATCCCGGTCAGATTTTGATTTCCGAATTGTTCTTTTTGATTCAAGGGCCTCGTTTCTGCCTTTTTTACTCCTTTAAACACTGCTGTTCGCCAGTTGGAGCGATGTTTGGCAATGAACTCCCATTCGTTTTTTTCAATATTGGCTTCCCTCAAGCTTCGTTTGCAAACGTCAATAAATCTCAGGCGTGGTCGTCCAATTTGTCTTGTCCCCTCTACCAGCTCTCCATACAGCAGTATCTTTGGAATACATCCTTCCTCCATTCTCCGTAAATGACCTAACCAGCAAGGGCGCCTCTTGATAAGAAAGGAGAATATGCTAAACATGTGTGCATGTTCCAAAACCTCCATGTTAGGTACCCTGTCCTGCCAATGAATGCGTAAAATGCTACGCAGATATCTTTGATGGAAGCTGTTGAGTTTCCGCCCCTGACTGGTGTATGTGGTCCACACTTTGCTACCATATAGGAGCGTGCTAAGCACGCATGTCTGATAGACACTTATTTTTGTTTTATCAGTTAGATTGAGATTATTCCACACCCACTTATTCAGTTTAGCCATAGTTGCTACTGCTTTTACGATCCTGATATTTATCTCTTCATCAACAGAGAGAGAACTAGAAATATTGGATCCCAGGTATGTGAAATAATCAACAACCGAAAGATTATGACCCTCAATAGATATGATTGGAGGGACGGTGCTTCTTGCATCATTACATGAGTTTTCTGTAGACTAATCGAAAGTCCAAACTCTTTACAAAAGTGTGATAGACGATTAACCAGCCCCTGCAGACCTTCTTCTGTGTGAGATGTTAAGGCGGCATCGTCAGCGAACAGCAGTTCACGAATCAGCACCTTTTCTAATTTGGTCTTTGCACGAAGGCGGGTGATATTGAACAGCCTACCATCAGATCTGGTATGGATGAACACTCCCTCTTCACAGTCCCTGAAGGCAAATTGAAGGAGCATCGAAAAGAAAATGGAAAAGAGCGTTGGTGCCAGTACACAACCCTGTTTTACACCGCTGCTAACTGGGAATGACTCAAAGACAGTGCCATTGAAAGTTACTGTGCTGTGCATGTTTTTGTGAAATGATTGTATTATTGTGAGCAGTCGTGGGGGACAACCTATTCTATGCAAGATACTGAAAAGGCTCTTCGACTTACCAAGTCAAATGCCTTTTTCAGGTCTATGAAGGCAATATAAAGAGGCATATGCTGTTCACGACATTTCTCCTGGATTTGGCGTAGCGAAAATATCATGTCTATTGTTGAGCGCCCACTCCTGAAGCCACACTGGGTAGATGCGGTTCGCCAGACTCTGCAATCGTTTAAGGGCAACACGGGCAAAAGTCTTTCCAACTAAGCTAAGGAGAGAAATACCTCGGTAGCTATTGCAATCACTTCGGTCCCCTTTATTTTTATACAATGTTACGATGTTGACGTCTCATGTAAAGGCTGAAGTAGGATAGGTTTTCCATTTTTGAGGATTTCCGCTGGGATGCCGTCGATCCCATCCGCAAGGTAATCGATAGCTTTTTCGAGCTCCTGTAAAGTTGGCTCTTCATCCAGTTCATTCATTACTGACAAGGCGGGAATATTATGCAGAGCGGTCTCAGTGACTACATTCATTGTAGAGTATAGCTCAAGCTCTACCCAATGACGGAGTTGATCATTTGGATTCTTGATAATTTCACCCGCCTTGGACTTGAGTGGTGCTATTTTTGACATGTGTGGACCAAATGCCCTCTTGATGCCCTCGTGCATGCTCTTTGCATCTCCGTTGTCTGAAGCCAATTGTATGAAGTTGCAATGGTCTAGCCAGTAAGTGTTGGCACAGTGGCGGGCCGCCTGCTGTGATAATTTTTTTGCGGTTCGGAGAGCCTCTAGTGTACTATTTTTACAAATATTTGATATATTAAAATACATTGTATTATTATATAAACTTAATAGTATAATAATAATGTAGTGTAATAATATAGCAATGCTAAAAGGGATGGTGGCAGGCTATATTACACTCTACTGCAGGGCTTCTTCACTCAGCCCCGGTGTGAATTAATAAAATGCAATTTCTTCATAATTACACCTGTGTTTTTTGCTCTCTAAATATTTTATCAGCAGATAATTTATAAAATTAACATTCACTCAAAAACGGTTGTTGGCCTTAATTTAGTGAAAAAAGCACCTACCATTAGAGTACTAATAGTTTCAAGTGCTCAACAAAAATTATATTTTTTTAAAAATTCCAATTTTTTTTTTACATACAGGTACGGTACCGTTATAAAGTTTAACAAATTTAATCTGCTAAAAATCAGTAAACAAAGAAAAACTATACCAGATCGAGTGATATTAGCATTATTCAAATCAATTATATTATTATTATACTATTAATTAAGTTTATATAATAATACAATGTATTTTAATATATCAAATATTTTGTAAAAATAAATATACAGAATATAGTCTGCCTCATTGTTGATTTTTAAAAGTAAAAACAATATGCAAGACACTAGAGCAAAATTAACCTATAATGGTGTATACAGGTATTTATTTATTAAATTTCCTAGTAATTGCAATTAAACATCAATTAGAAAATGTTAAAATGCTGAGGAAAGTTTAGCAATGAGTCTAGTCTCTGGGATCTAGAGCAGGAATTTAGCTTCCACAAGCAGAAAACATATTTTCATATTGGAGTATATGTCTTCTTCTTGTAAAATGTACTGTTCCAGTACACACACTTCAGTGACTATCAAATCTCTGTAATCAGGGTTTCATATATGGAAACATAAATTGAGAGCTTGACAGAGAAGTTCCAGAAGTGGACACTTGAGGTAGGTGATAAAAATGATTGGCTTTTATGAAACGTTTTCCCCTCAAAATGTTGTTCGTCAGTCGGGGGTCGACCATGACCACTTTAATCATCAGAATTTGTGTTGGTTCTCTCTGTGGGTGCGCAGATTGCTAATGAGGCTGAGTCAGGCACGAAATTCTCTTGTGCAGTAGGAGTAAGGGGAATGATGGCGCATCTCCTGGAGCAGAATCAGACCGGGCCTTCCTGGCATGTCTCTTGAGCTCTGCAGCCGCTATTTTGCCAACTTTGTGTTGCATGGAGCTCCTGTGCAAAGTGGAAAGCCATGAAGTTCGATCCTTTGCTTGTTCCTCCTACATGTCTGGGTTTATGTTGAAAGCTTTCAGGGAGGCTTTTTAGGTCATGTCAGTCCCCATAGCCTTGGCGCTCGTCGGCCTTGACGCTCAACCATTTATTCTGCATTAGACGCAGTTTCTGCTGAATAGTTCTTCTTATACTTTTGTACGCATCTTTCATGGGATTGACCTCGGGTTGTTTAGGGAAGCGTGGTGAAAACAGTGTTTTTCCTCGAGCAGTTGCTTGATTATGTCAGTTATCATCAAACCAATCCTGATGTTTTTTCGAGCTTGGCCCCAGAAACTCCATGGCGGTGCTAGACAATATAGATCTAAGTGATGCCCAGTTTGCTTCGACGTCATTTTCCAGTAGTGTGAACTCCATACGTTCTTCCAGAGCATCCACATAGGATTTCTTAATGTTGGGGCTTTTCAACTTTGTGATATTTAGACGTTTAGGGGTCTTCTTTCCCTGTGGGCATCTTTTGGTACAAAAAAAGTTTTTACATATTCAGTAAGATTATTAAAACCGACTTACTTATTTATATGTGTCTGCACTTCGTAAGAGGGTGAAATGGTCAACAGCAAGCACCAAGCACTCAGTGCTTGACAAATCAGCCAGCTTAGCTCTGATGGAACAGTGGGGGAATTTTCTCCTTTCCCGTACCCCATACGGAATATATCCTCCAATGCATTAGTTAGAAACTTTGCTTTCTAGAAATAAAGTATGATCTAATGATCTATATTGAAATTATATTACTATCACCTGATTGAAATTATAATAGCAAGTTTTAGAGGATAAGGCAATAGTTACTTGAACATTTAAACTTTACAAAATTAAACAAAATCTTTACAGGTAAAAATATTCTATAAATCTGCTTGTCTCATGCATTTTTTTAATCAGGACCCTGGACAAATCATGAGATATACATCAACATTTAAAAAAAAAAAAGACACTATAACTATAAGACAGCAAATAAGTACTCAAATATTCAAGTAATTAAGTTACCTCCAGATCATCAGAGCTCAAAAAACAGCTTGTAGCCAATGTTGTAGCACAAGCGCCCCTAGCCTTGTAGTGGGTCGAATTATCCATCATGAGACTGGTAAGGATAGGCTGGACTGTGTCAAACACACTAGAGGCATCTGAGCCAAGCTGAACTGCAACTAGGCTCAAACAGGAAGCAGCCAATTCTTGTTCATCCCATTTTCCCTTCCTCAGACATTTTACAAGATGGTCTGTCAAGGTCTCCTTCCTTTTAAAGAAGCACATTATCCAAATAGAAGAATTCCCTTTCATCAAAAATTCTTCAATTGAAATATTTTAAGATTTAAACAATGTAATACCATGTTAACACAAAAAATTTGAACCTTTTTAGGCAGTTTTATTTTATCTAAAACCACCTTTGGATCAAGATAAATTTAATCCACACATTATGTTGGTTCTTATTATGGAAACTAAATATGGGAAATTAATTCAAAACACATGAAAACACCCCACCACCCCTTTCAAATATCTGTTATATCATAATACATATTAACATCTAAGACATATCTTAGCACTGAATATGAGAATTAAAAATGATATTTAATTTTAATAGACCTTTTCTCTTACCTATCAAACAAATAATCAGCAACATACTTCTTCTGTAATGCTTTCTGGATGCCTTGTAAAGCAGTTAAACGAGTCTTTGCACTGAAACAAAATTTATTTTTTAAATTCAAGATGCCACAATGTATATTTAACTAAACATACAGCTACAAGAGATAAAAACTTAGCAAGACTTGAAAAGTAAACTGTGTTAATAAAGTTACATTGGTGCAAATTTGTATACATACAAAACCACTACACATTTTAATCCAAAACCATAATTTATACCTTTTTTCTAATGTTCCATCCATGTTTTCTGAAAATTTCTCTTCAAACATTTCCTGCTGTGATGTGTCCTCAGATGATTCCTCCCCTGCTGCAGCTAGATCTGTATTAAATTTTTTTTTTACTTATAAAGTGTGACATTTTAATATCTAGTTAAAAAAACAGTCCACAATCCCGCTATTTTTAGTGGTCTGTTAAGAATAAGTTTGGGTTTAAATTTTCTTAATATCATCCAAATGAAACCCAGTATCGTACTTAAGGACAGTAAGAAACTACTAATAAAGTGACCATGAGCATAAGAAGGAAATTGAAGTACAAAGGAAAAATACAAAGTCTTAATCAGAAAAAACATGCACCACTGGTCCTCTCATTATTTTTCTCATCTTAGGGTACACAAGGAGGTAAACTGAATTTGTTCTAACTAATACACATGAGTCTTGACTTTCCATAACCTACCTGAACCAGGCCAACTTGAATTATCTGATAACACACTCTGGGTGCTCCAATGATCCAAACTTTCATCATCATCTTCATCATTTTTTTGACGTGGGACAGGCAGAGTGGCACCATCTTGACCTTGAGCTTTCCCTCCTACATAAGAAATACATTTCGTTCTATACTTGAAACTTATGATAGAATAAACCAATATGGACTTATGTTTTATACAAAGTATGGGATGGTGACCTTGATTCAGGTTTCTATTAAAGTTAAAGGCTATTTTGATAAACTAATTCTTAATTCTTAAACTATGCTTCATCAGATCAGATCACGTACAATTTTCCTACATGATAATTAAAATTAAATGTTAAAAATTCTAATTGATTTTAAAAAAGTCTTTCTTTTAAAGACACGTTTAAATGCACTAACAATGTTTGTTTAGCCTAGTTAGTTAAGTACTAATTACCAAGTTCATCAAGTTTTCAAGTAATGGTCAACGTCAACAAAGACTAATACTAACTTATACTAACTAAAAATAAAAACACAACACTTCACTTCATCTACGTAAATCAGTGTAGGCTAGTATTATAAAATTAATAATTATGTTAAATATGTGGTGATATCCCCAACAAACACTAAACTGCTTACAGATTGTAACAAGAATTTGGTATACTCAATGAAACTCATGCACCTTTAAAGTTTAAAGAGTAGTTAGCCGGTAGTCATACTATTTTTAATTTTTACTCAATAACTTTGACTCAGTTGTTAGGCTTAAACTTAAATTAATTTTGAAGTCATTGAAGTTAATTCAACTGTATCAGTAGTGATATCTTTTAAAATTGTTAATATTAGGCTAAAATTTACAAAATATCAGCTTCTGAATAAGTCTAAAAACATACAGATCAAACCGATTTATCTAGGTGGAAATAACGAAACATATGGTATGACCAACCATGAAAACATGTTTATGATGTATAATTAAAAAGGAAGCCAAAGATGGCGCAACATGTGAGAGGTGTAAAGTAACAAGAGGGTGAATGGTAACTTACCTCCACGTTTCTTGGTATTCTTATTCTTGGGCATTATTTAACTGTTTTAAAATGAGTCCAACAAGGTAAATTACTGTCTATAAACATAAGCCAACGTATATGATATTCACTGTGGAAGCAGTAAGATGGTAGGAAAGAATTTCGGCGAGACAAAGTTGACATGTTTCGGTCACAGTGCGGAGGTGATGCACATCTACAACGCAATATTTTTAGAATAGTTTACTCTTTAATAACAAAAATTTTATATGATTATTTACATACAAATAACATATATTTTAATTTTTAACAGTTTAAATTGCTTTAGACGAATTTTATATTAATTAATATGAATTTTAATTTTTTAAAGCCCAAAAATTATTTTTTTACAAAATTTGTTTGGAGGCTATTTGTTTTGTTATTAAATGCAGTTATGTGATTGGTCAAAATAATTATCTCCGAAGATTTAGACTATATTTAGATTAGGAGGACACTTTCGTCACTGCGCAACCAAGTAAAGGGTGGACTGTAGCAACCTAACAACAATCAACTAATAAATGACAATATAATCGTAGTTAAATTGATCATACACCGAACATTTGGTACAGGACTGCTCTTCTCTGCGATGGGCCACTCCACTGGTCCATGCGTTGAAAATTACAACGAACAAAACAAAGGAAATTAATAAATAATAAAGCACCTTCTCAGCTATTAGAAGATAGTTGCTTTATTATATTATTATTATTGGCTACATTTTACACTATTTACAGTGCTACATGCTACAATAATAGATGCATTGATGACTATTAGTATAAAAAATCCAGTAATGGCTCTTTCCTAATACTACTAATACTTGACTATCAGTCTATCACTAGGTCTATCTTTTACTACGACTACCACTAAACCACTGCGTTTGTCATTTCAGAGGGATCTTCCACGAATCCCCAGCTCTACGCCGTGTTTCGAACAACTTATCCCTTATAATTACCCATCGTGTGACTATAGACTATAGACTCTATTATATAGATGTTTAATTTATTTCAATGTTATACTAAATGTATATGATCATGGATAATTTAATTTCATTCTATATTTTTCATCCCAGAAAAACACTTCAAAATGTTCAAATAGCATATTTCTTAGTCTGGGACAGATTAATTGAATTGACATTGACATCAATGGGGCACGTTGTTTTGGTCAGCATGCTTTGATCTAAGAACGGAGTCACGGTTAAGTTCGTTATCCGAGGTTCCAATGTATGTCCTAATGCAGAGTGCAGAGGTTGGCGACGGTATTTAACCATTAACCCACGATTTGAAAGGAAGAATATCTTAGAATATTAAAATTCAAAGTCAAGATTGAATCTATTTTTACGGAGAAAAAAAATTTAAATATTAAAAATACAAAATAAATTCGACAAAATAAAGTAAAATCCTAATTCCAGAACAAAATCATTTATTTGAAAAAAAGGTAAACATCAAATTTTGTAGAAATGATTTTCATTTTTAAAAAGGACATAAAAATTGGAGGGCCTCTTTAAGCAGATGCATTTTGATACTGTCTTTGGGGTTCAATAATTGATTTCTTTGTATTAATGTAAATTGGAGTGAAAAATCCTTGTTCGCAAAGGTCAAAGGTTGTTGTACTATAGCAGAAAATTTTTGACTGCCTCCTCGTGAGCAATTTTAGAAACCTTTGCTGCAAAGTTTGCATCTATTGGCGGTTTGACCATAAGTGGTATCGCCAGTAGGGGGGGGGGGCGCGTGGAGGCGGACCGCACTCCCACATGGGAATGACACCCTCACAGGCGGATGACACCCTCACAGAGGGATGACACCAAATGAAAAATACTAAATTTGGCAGAGCTCGATCAGGTCGGTTTCATAACTGCAGAGCAGGGTGCCACCAGAGCAGGGTTCCACCAGAGCAGGGTGCCACCAGAGCAGGGTGCCACCAGAGCAGGGTGCCACCAGAGCAGGGTGCCACCAGAGCAGGGTGCAACCAGAGCAGGGTGCAACCAGAGCAGGGTGCCACCAGAGCAGGGTGCCACCAGAACAGGGTGCCACCATAGCAGGGTGCCATTAGAGCATAGGAGGTCCATAGAAAAGTCTGGATTTAGAAGGGGGGGGGGTAACACCATGAGTTAACCGAATCGGGATACATCAACTCTAGTGACACCACTGAGCATAAGATAAAATAGATGACCAGGCTAAAATGACATATAAAACGCTGGATGAGAGGTTATTCTAGCTGCCAATGCACTAGCAACCACGCCATATTGGTTACCAGATGCATTGGTGCCAGATTAAAAAAAAAAAAATTCGTTAAAAAAAAAAATCTTTAAAATCTTTAAGTTTAAGCATCAAGTCTGTGTACTTTTGTTGTAATGAGGCTGCAGTTGTCACAAAATGATAACGTTGATCAACTTCCGAATAAGGTGTTGTCATTACTCTTCGGCTCTGATCAGAGACGATGGTATCGACTATAATGTATGAGATTTAAAAAGTGGTACACCACTGCGCCACTGAGGCGACTGTCATCTGTTTTAGTTTTTTTAGTTTTTTTTTCTCCGACCCGGGGGGGGGGGGGGGTGGGGTACGGAATTTTTATATGGTTTTTGTTTGTACTGCCTGTTTTCATTTATTCTGTTCACTCTAACATAGTCAATTGAATGTTTATAGCGCTTGTATCCACGCTGCTTTAGCAACAAGACTTCCAACAACGCAGTGATTCACTTTTCTATATATTTTTAAACAATCTACAGCAGGTAAGCATTTTCTGCTCTCCTTACATCCATAGTTGCTAAAATGCAGAATGGTTTGCGAATGACAGTTTATCAAACAGGGGCCTAGATCTTGAACACACAGTGAAAAAACTACCATCAGAGATTTCTGTAATTATGGTATTACTATTACAACAACATTAACAACAAAAAATGTTGGTGAGGGATTTGTAAAACAAAAAAAATGTGGATAGATAGTTCAAGGGAACGGAATTGTTATTTTTTTCCTAACTTAATATAAGTTAGGCCACAGTAGTCATTAAATTAAGCAGTACTGTATTCAGTAAATTTAATGATTACCTGTATATAAAAGATGATGGCATCACAAGGCTGACATTAATCATACCATGGCTTTGGTGGTTCGAAAATAACAGCAAGTACGGAGAGCATAAATAGTCAGAGTACCGCTGATCATGCTTAATCATTTATAACTAGTGGACACACTTTTTCCTAATTACATCTAAGTCGCTGTGTCTTCGCAAAGAACAATAAAGAATTAAAGTATTAAAAGGGAGATAAATGTACTAATCTATCACTTCTACATTTTGCTTGTTATTTCCCTTTAATTCACCTGCTTGGTAATCTATTAGTTGCATATTTAGGATTGGAGCGGCTCAAAGCGGGCCAAAGATACAAAAAAAAAAAAAAAATTAAAAATATATATATAT